ATTGTTTGCGTTGTCGTCATTATTTTTGTTCTGGTTATTATTGTTGTTGCTAATAACTTCCATGGTTTCTTGCTTTGAAATAGAATTATACTCTTTTAGATCTAGTTTATTGGCTTGTAACTTTTTCTTTATGTTTTTACTATTGTTTTTGTGTGCGGTTCGATCCATTTTGAGATTAAACAAACATTATTCTGCATGAACCTTACCTCGCATAAACAAGTAATAGTAGAGCTAGATAACATGATCAGTAGGTTCCTGACTATAAACAGAATATGCATAAATAATTAACTAATATAAATAGAATACTTAAAATGATAATAAAACAATTGCAATGTTTTCAAAAACTAACATTAGTCCCCAGCAACGACGCCATTTTGTTGAAAGCACAAAAACATGTGTATTTTTATTGTCTCTGCATGGACTGGTTATGTTTTAAACATTATTCAATAGTTTCTATTACTTTAATATTGATTTATCATATTGTTAATTGTTTGTGAATATTGAACTGTAAAATAACATAAAATAAAATTGAACTTGTGGTATTAGTGGTGAGAAAATTTGTTGGGGTTAGATTTCATTTAACACCCTCATTTAGTATCATTGACCATTAATACACTATTTTAATCAGATATTAATATTATCACATAAAACTCTCATTTTAGCTCATGTATGAGTCAACGACGTGAGATCAGACGTATTACCTAATAGACGATCTCTTAGCATATTATCTAATATGCCAGCATTAAGTTTTAATAATTAATACGGATAGTGAATCTAAATATATGTCAAGACTTTAGCATATCCAATAGATGAAATCTTGGATTTATTAATTATCATTGCCTTTTGAATATCAATTCATACCACAAAAACATGTTTTAGGTACCTAATCCAAAAGAAGCATTTAGAACGAAGAGTTCCTCAATATTAAAACTTAAGAAGAATTACATAGAAGTTTATGGTTGGGATTAAACATGAGTACTAGAACAACTACATTTAACCCCAACTAAAGAGAAAATTATATATGCTTACTCATTATAGTTTTACGATTAAGCGCTACAAGAAAGAAGTTGAATAGTATCTGTGACAATTCCTCGAACAGCGTGTTCGCCCAATCTTCCTCTCCCATTCTCCCTTGTTGTTACTTATCTCTTAACCTAAATTTCTCTAAAAATACCTCAAATACACATACATACTCCATTTAAACTTAATGACACCCTTATTTATAGTGTTTGGACTGGTATGTTCGTTAAGTGCATCACTCACCTTTGTTTAATGCACCTACTTTCTTCCTTTTTAAACAATGCTTGCTCGCCTACAACTTTCTTTGCTACCTTAGCTCCCTAAGTGTGGCATTCATCCTCTCCTAGTGCACAAATCCTTCCATCACCTTGAAGTCACGAACCTTTTTACCCTGCTAAGCGAGCCTTTTTTCTTGGATTGGTTTAAACATTGCATAATTATATTATTTTTAGTATGCACCATTTTATTGACATAATTTTATTAAACCCTTTATTCTATAGTTTGTACCATTGTTAAACATATCTCAACCATACTTTTAATTTGTACCAATTTAAAAGCAGTTTTGTGTAATCAGTCTATTTCATTTATACTTAGTTTGTACCAATTTATTAACATGAAACATTCATAAGTGTGCATAAAACATTCATTTCATTAAACATTAAAAAAAACATTCGGTTACTTAACATAGTTTGTACTAGTTACTTAGCACGATCCAAAAAACATACAAACATAAGTCTTTGCAGCACTAATAAACCTATATTTCTAAACTAAGTGGTATTCTTTCTTGGAGTAGTCCTTTTTGTTTGAGATGGACTAAGTCTTGTAGTAGGTCCTTTCTTTGTAGCACTTAATATGGTAGTATAATTTACGGATATAACAATTGTTGATACTCTCCTAACATTCACATTTTTTTCCTTTGCATGACTTTCTTGAATTGGATGACTAAATTGAGTTGGTTGAGTTGGCTAACTATTTTTCTTATCTTTAATCCACATACACGATCTTCTCCATAAGTATCGTATCTTAGAAATGTCTTAGATTTTTATAAATGGAAATGGAAATGAAAACGTGCAAATGGTAAACGTCAAAAACTTTTATTCAAATATATTTTCTAATTTAATTTTCACATAAGCAACATGTGGATAATATGTAATTATTAAATTTGACTTTAACTAACAGAGTTCATAAAAAGGACAAACGTGTTACAGTTTGAAGAAATCAAAAATCAAATGTTCTTTTTTAAAATTAAAGAGAACAAAATGAACGTCAAATCAAAGATAAGGGAAAAAATATTAATCCTAAACATATCTACAAATAAAGGGTAACTTATTAATAGATACACTAAAAACATATACAGTAATCACACATTCAATTTTTCTTGATACACCTAAAATATAAGCATAATTAGTCCCTAGGTCCCTTAACTTTAAGCAAAGTTTCTCTTTGGTCCACTAACTATAAATTGTTATATGGTAGTCTCTTAAATTCACTTTTGTTAAACTATTTGGTCCCTTCCGTTAGTTTGGGTGAAAAAATGTTAACTATGGTTGAAGTGGTATGACAGGTATGCAGACAGTACAGTGAATATTCAGTTGTTGTGGTATAAACGGTTCTAGGGTTCGTGGCTTCCTATTCTTCATTTTCCTTCTTTGTTTTTCACTATTCATCCATATTCCATTAGTTCATGTATTTCTATCCTTCCGTCTTCCATCGTGTTCCATCTTCTTCTCCAAATTACGCTTAAATCATCATCTTCCATCTTCTATCAGTGCTTCAATGTCAAATAATGCAAGCAGTGCTTCATTGTCAAACAATCAAAGTTTTGGTACATTTGAATTTTTGCTTCATAGAAACAAGAGAATGTAGTGTTTTTGCTAAGATGAAAGTGTTCTTCGTACTGTTAGTGATGTGAACAGTGTCAACTATAGGGGAAATTTTTGAGTTGTAGAAATTACATAAATCACATGGATAAGGGCTTTAATTTTTTCAAGTGTTTAGGTGATGAATTTTTTGATGAAAGGAGTTTAAATCTTGAAATAAAAAATAAGAAAATTAACAAATTGAAGAATGAGGTTATCTACGCTAGAGGATGGTTGAAAATGTCCATTGTGGTTGGAATGTTGAGCTTAAAGTTGAACCTTGTGTTTGTAATAATATAATTCAATTAGGATTAGGGTAATTAGGTGTTATGTTTTCACATTATAAATGTACTCTTCTATTGGTATAATGAAGAATGTTATTGTCTTTTTAACACATTAGTAATATTTGTTCATTATTCTCTGTTTTAACACTGATACATAACTTGTATAAATGTTGGAACAAAATATAACTTGTGAAACATGCAACTAAAGGGACCTTATTGTTATGAATCAAAATATTTAATAGACCAATTTGCAACCAATTATAAATTTAAGGAACTTAATTGAAACCTTATAAAAAGATAAGGGACAAAATTGTAGTGTATCAGAACAAAACAAAACCAGCGGAGAATTTCACATAACTTGACATTATAAGTCATTTCAATATTCATTAACAGATCAAAAGATAATTACATGTGAATTGGCATTATAAGCCTAAAAAATATTCAATAACATATGGCTATTATAAGACATGTCTATAACATTCCAAAAAGTGATACAAAAAGTATAAGTCATTGCCAGTAAGCTATTATAAGACATATTAATAACATTACAAAAAGGAATTATAAGTCATTGTGATGGTTGTGGAATTGTTGCTTATGGTTCCTAAGTTGAGGTTCCTTCTAGTACCTGACTTGGAGGTGCTTGTGGTTGTGGTAGTTTACAGGTGATCTTGTTGTGACCATCCTTGTGGCAACGGTTGCACTTGATTTTCTGTTTTTCCCCGTTTCAAGTGCGTCTCATTCCGCACCACTTCTCCAGCTTCTCTATTCCTCTTTTTCTTGGACCTTCCAGGTTGTCTCTTTATTGGTGGTGGCTAGAGATCAACAGTATCAGATTTTATCCATAAAGCTTCCCCATTAACTGGATAAAGAAATGATGCATGGAAAACTTCATAGAGTTCTTTCTTATAACAGTTAGGTACAAAATCATTAATTTATAAATGGTGATCCTTCTTGCATGACATTGCATAGCAGCATGGCAGTCATGTCAGCATCCACATTCCACATGAACATTCTTTTTTGGAAAGATTGACATCATATTTTTCTCTATTGAGTGATACATGTATAACCTCGTAGTCATATTCACCTGCATGCCTGTAAAACACAATGAATATTCAACATAAGCCAATTTAATTTTAGACATATGACGGAGTAAAAGGACAACAAATTAATCATATTACCTCACAATTCAATGGTTTGTTTTTTGTGACTCCCTTTACATCCTCTTTTTTATGCTTAGTAGGATTTTGTGCCTTCATATTTGTCAATCTTTTACCTACTTGATTTCCATATTTGCATGAGATACACTCTAATTTCTTCAAGCATTGTCACAATTGGCTTGACTCATGCAACTACAAACACAGAATTGAATATCTCAGACATATTATTGATCAAAGTGTCACAGCCTGTACTTGTCTTGAATCTTGATTTGCTCTAGAATCTTGGTGGAATCCTGATGAGATGTTTGAATTCCTCTTTATTAACTCCCTTGATTTCAAGTATTACTTTCTCCTAAACATTCACATGACTTGCAGTTGCGACCCTCCACATCAATTTCTTTCGTTTTAGACCAGGGAACTTCTTCCTAAAGTTGTTATATAAATGTCTGCAATATTGAAGGGACTAAAGTAAAATCTGTAAACAACTTCAGGGACTATAATGCTACAAATGGTTTAACAAATAAATGGTATAATAAACCTTATAAAAATCAAGGCACAATAGTACAATGCAAATAATACTACAAATGTATATGATATTTAAACCAGTAACAGATCAGTAACAAACTTAACTTCTTTATTGTCTAAGTCATCTCTTTCATGCACAACATTTTCATTAACTCCTAAGTCATCTCCTTCATCCACAGCATTTTATTAACTCCTAAGTTAAATCCCTCGTGCATAACATCTTCATTAACTCCTACTTCAGCCATGTCATCATCCACAATAGTTTCATTAACTCCTAAGTCAGCTCCCGCATCCACAACAACTTCATCATCGAATTCTAATGAAAGAATCGATTCATCAATAATGTCAGGTTGTGAAAGAAGATGGGTAACATATAAATGATATTCCTCAGTTATTATGGTAATTGTTTTCATCCTCTTAGTTTCCTTATCATCCTCCAATAACAAAATATCGCAAATATTATTTTGATCGTAATACCAAAGTTTATTTAAAGTTGGATAACCTAACTCTTTTAACTTGCCTAAAATTTTAAAGTAACTCCAATAATCTGAATCAACATCTCAAATGATCTCTAAGCCTTTATACCCTAACTTTGTGAAGTTAGCAACTCACCAGAATGATGAACAATACACTTAAACTTCTTCTTCGTTGCCTATTCCACATACATAAGATAGCAGAAGTACTAAGGAAGATGGATAAAGAAAAAAGTTCATGTTTTTAGTAGGTTACAGGTCAAAAAGCATACCTTAGTTATATAGCTTCGTTATCTTCTTTTGTGAAACTATTATTGCTACCGTCTTCAATAGACTTGGTCTGTGGAACTATTGTTGTTATCGTCTTCAATGAAGTTGGTCGTATAACTTCGTTATCTTCTTCTATGAAACTATTTAGAGAAATCGTCTCCGATGAAAGGTGTCATAGCAATCGTCTTCGTTTGCCCTAACCTAACATTTCAACTTCGTTTCTTTTTTAAGTTCACGGATTTACAACAATATTAAAATTAATAAATTCCACATTAGATATAAAAGATCTAACATTACATCTTTTAACATTTTTCCAATAGAAATGGAAAAAATCAAATAATTTAACAAAAGTAAAGTTAAGAGACCACTATGTAACGTTTTTTTAATTAGAGGACTAAGGCAAAACTTCTTATAAAGTTGAGACTAAAGTATATCTTATAAATAGGGACATTGAAATTGATTTATCAAAATGAACAGAATATCATAACATAGGAGATACACATCACTTAACACATATCTGAGTTGACCTTATAACCATTCGGTACATAATTGGCATAAATAATAAGACATTCGAGTTGACAACAACAACAAAAAACTATAACTAAAGTTTCTGATTAGTGTACCATAACATTCTCTAATAAACATTAGATACATACATCATTTGTAGATAAAAATATAATCCAAAGAATAAAAACAAAAAACAAAATAAAAAAATAAAACTAGTGTGTATGTCGTACACCCACCTTCTCCTCCACTACTACGAGCTTCTTTCATAATCTCTTCTAGAGTATGTCAAACAGAATACGACTAGACCTCCCCTACCATCATCCTCAATCTCCTGTGCTCTGGCCTGCTGCTTCTCAAACTCAGTCACCAAGCCAATTGATTCATATCTGAGTTTTTCCGTAGCTTCTTCAAGCTTAACTTCGATTTAGGACAAATGTGTCATCTCACCGACTAGTAGATGAAAGATTCGGCGTCATCTAACCAACTAAAAGATGGAAGATGTTGGTCTCTATATGACCAACTTAAGGAGAGAAAAAAAAAGTGCAGCCATAATAATGATTGATAAAGGACAAAGCTGAAACTTTAACTTTAAAGGTCTCTATTATCTTTGATTGCATTTTCTATTCAGAATTCAGCTGTCCAATAAATGGTACAAAATCAACATCCTTTTCTTTCATTTTTTAGTAAATTCCCAAAATTGCAAGTTTGGCATATGCCCCACTTTTTTTAGGAGAAAATATCAATGGAAGAGTGAAACATACAAGAAAATATCTACCAATCACCAATTTGACAATGCCAACCAGACACTTTTTATCTTAGAAAACACGTTAAAAGAACTAATAATGATGCTAATAAACAACAAAACAATACAATAGTGTTTCAAATAATTGTCCTCCCATAAATTTCCCCCCTAAACTCTGTACCTTAAATAACAATATGTATCTGTATCAGGAGCACAACAATTTGAAGATAAATATGAATGGGGGGAGACAAATAATTTGGGAAAATAAAAATAGAAAACTCAAATTTACAGGCCCGCCTCTTTCTCTAGCCTAAAATCTTAAAACGAGGCAATGGAGCAAGAGGCCGATCCAATTGTATTTCAATGAAATAACGATCAAATCACCGTGCACAAGCTCTGAAATCTCTACCCTCTTAGTGGTTGGGCCAATGATGGTTGCGTTATTTGCATAAGGTTGAGACCACTGCAGCACTAACTGACTTGTTCAGTCTCCAATCCAAACTAACAAAGGAAATACTTAAATATGTCGGTCAGTGATACGATGCCTTCTACGCGCTTGCTGCCAGCTTCAACAATAACAAGCCGCCGGACACCTGAGTCCAAGTCAAGAGGGCATACAATTTTAAGCATTGCGGTCTTTCAAAACTTTGACACAATTAATCACTTCATGAGTTTCGCTTCATATTATTAAATTAAAGTGAAAATAGAAATAGTTTCATGAACGGGACCTAAAGGATCAAGTAAGACGTTGCTTTCACTCAACATTTGAAGATAAATGAATAATCAAAGGTTACTGATTGCTGAAAATGCCGATATGAAAAATAACAAAACCTAACCAAGAATTAATAGACCACCTAACACATAATTGATAATCGGTTATCACCCAAAGAAAACATAAAGCTACTTCATAAAAAAAAAAAGGAAAATAAAACCTGGTTTTGACAAGCGGTCCATCACTTTATGCAAAGAATCAGTTCGCAAACACATCTGACATCTTTGACTTCTCGCCTCATTGGGATTAAAAGCATCCTGGCCCAACTGCAATGCCTGTACAAACAAAACAAGAGATACTTGTATTTCACGAATTAAATCAACAAATACTAAAAGCTTATGGTACACAGCCTTTTATTCTTCAAGTAATATCACAATTAACATCCACAAAAACAGTCTATGCATCCTAAGTGAATTACTAAAACTCATTACATCTAATCTTTCTTAACAATCAAACAAAGAGCTGCTTCTCATTTCTTCCTTTACTAATTTATCCACATTAGCTAGAACTCATTTTTCATTTACATATCGGTTGGACCTAACCACCAGAATGACACACTCTGGCTAATACAATTGACTTGGATTATTGCCTGTATATTTCTAGTTCCTCGGCCTTACTCTTGATGGCAACTGGGGTTTGTTGAATGCAACATAGGAGCACTTTTATTAGTTTTCATAGGATAAGTTCATCACTTAATATGAACAGCATTCAATGGGGACTAGGGAGCACAGTAGGGAAGTTAACTCTTAATTGGGAAGTGCATGTTTATTGATACAATGTACTCCCTCGCCGGACTCAGTTATAAGCAAAAACAACTAATTATGCAGATTAAGAAAAATGGTTAACTCATTTAATTGTCTTAATGTAATCAAAAAATAATTGTATTTCTGAAACTACTCTTTCTTTTCATTTAATTTGTAAATAAACTTGTTTCATTGATGGATATTTTGAGAATAATAGAATTAAATAGGATGAAGTTTGTTAGATTTTGCTTATATTTTGGTCTACCAAATATGACTAATTTTGTGTACATTTAAGTCATGACTTCCAATTTAAAAAGGAAGAATATTTGCCTCTGCATCAATAAAACATTATTGTTTAAGGAATCTAATTCCATATAAATTTCCAGGTCTCTTGAACATTAAATAATCATGCAAAAGAAACACATGATCAAATATCATTTGAGTTATGGGATAGAAACGTTTCAATAATAAAGGGCATTGCATAACTTCAATAGGCAATGAAAACACTAAATTTAAGCATTAAAGTATTGCATAATACTACTCTTTATGAAGCTGCGTAATCATGTTATTTTTATCCAAGAAAATTTAGTAGGAGGCAGAGAAAAAAAAACTAATTCAATATATTAATTTGGTGGTCGTCTTCAAGTGATCAGTGTCATAGGCTCCACAAAACTACACGTCGGTAGAAGATAAACAAACATGTTCCCATTTTAGTTTCTTTTTCTGTAGTTTAATTTCAAAAACATAAATTGCCAATGGAAATGGAAAAAAAATGAAAAAGAGAAAATCCAAACTTACTTGATGAACGGTCATTTCCTCGATATTAATGCGTGTATAAGCTCTGTCTTTTGCCAAAGCTGTTATATCACTACAAAGCAGTGATAGGAGGGAAAATGAAAAACTTAATGGGCCACTCTAAAGAATGAATTGTGAAGACAATTTAATGTTTGAACTATAGAACTCCCAGAGTATATTGATGACGATAAAAACTAACCTCCGGCAATATATATCCAGTAAAGAGTCACTATCATCAACTATTGGTATTGAACTTACTTGATCTGCAAAGAAAATGTCAAAATGTTATGTTGGCATATAATCATGTCATGTAAACAAGACATCTATCTAATATTTCAATGTTAAAATTTGAAAACTAATGATTCTTATTTCTCATTTAGTCAACATAATCACCTTTTCTATGCTGTTTAATCACACCTAAAAACAACACTTCTTCTCAAGGTGGGAGGACAAAACCCGCTACCATTAGTCTTATAACTCAATAATATAATAAAATAATCAGTCCTTTATTTTTTTTTCTCTATGCTGATTTTATTTTTGTAGCAAACATAAAGAAGAATCAAACCTTGAACTAGTAAGTTTAGGGCTGAAGTAAGAGAAGCATTTGGTCTCAACATTGCTAGATGCCGGCGATTTGACTCCCCAATTTTGGGCACCCATGTGCCCACGGGAATTGCACAAATTGGAAGTTGAAGTATAGGCAATGAACTAGAACAATTCCTAAAATACCTGCAAATGCCTGAAAATTCTATCTGGTGACCATCAAGCTGATCATAAAAGAAAAAAGAAAGTTGTCAGAAAAATAAAACACTTACATCTAAGGATCCCCGAAAGTGAAGCAAGATGCAGTAGTTGTGGAAATGAACCGTCTTCAGAAGATGAATCAATAACAGGAACTGTTGAAATTCCATTTTGCAGAATCTTCAGAGCAATATCTTTCAAATTATCATATGGCCCTGCCTGAATAATAAGTTAAATCAACAATCAATCATATAGCCCCTCCTGCTTTATATAATTATTTGTTACACTTTTTACTGAACAGATGAGCATCACCATTCACCATAGTAAGATACAGAGAACAGTGATTATTGGGTAAATCTTCACACACGGCCCAAGCAACAGTTTTGTCAATTTCAAATCCAAGTTCCAACATTAAAATAAGTTGGATAATTGCAAAGTTGTGAAAAAGAATGGTACTTGTGATTGAAGAGTAATAACAGTCAAACAATTGGACTACTTTATAAATTAATAAAAGATATGTATGAAGAGGATTGCAAAAGAATCTAATGTTTTGAAAATTAGCATTGCAACACATGGTATAATGAATTTATCTTCAATAACGGTATCTTTCACGTTTTGTGTGATAAGGAAAAAGGCCAGTTAAGTAGACATGGAAAGTAGTTTCTTCTCATCGAAAAATTAGCATATGCATAATTCTTAAATTTAACGGAACAATAATGCTTGAATTTACATATGCATGTGTTCCCTAACATCTTAGTGAAAGATTACCCAAAGAACTTTTTTAAGTTAGACAACGTTCACCGAATTTGAAATAGATACAATGATAAGCATTTATTTTGTGCATGCACACACACCAAAACAATTTTTTACTAACCAATGTCTCTGTTGTGCTTAAACTCAAAGCTTAATGGCAAAATAAGGATTCGGTTTCTCTTTTATTTTAGCTTCAAGTTTCAACAGCTACAAAAGGCCATTATCTAGTTCAAATATTTGTTTGAAGTAATTTATAAAAATAAATTTTTAAAAGAAAAACTTAAGCGATATTTTGAGGGCAAATGGTATATATGAAGCTATGGTTAGATAAATTTATATCTCTAAATAATTTAATGTTTTTCCAATCATCATTCCCTTTGTTTCAATCCATTACCATCTTCTCTACTTTTTCTCTTATTTCTGATTTTTCCACTAATTGCATACATGTGCATTCCCAATTTTTTAGTAGAAGACACAAGCAAGATCTATCTCAATGATGCAATCTGGATTAAGCATCAAGATGATCTTCATAAATAGACCTTTTGATGTCAATACACAATATTTCTGCACTCTATACTTTTACCACGGACTCAATTCTACATCTAGCTGGTTTACCCAAAAATCGAAGTTGTGAAAAGATGAGCATTGCTGATATTTCTCCAATCTATTTATTGTACATCACAAAAAAAGAGCATCCTCGTCTATATTTTTATATATGCTTTACAAACAAAAAGATGCTAGTAGAATATATGAGCATAATCACATGGCAGTTCCTCCAGAGGCCATATAAAATACTTACATGGATAAAACGTCTTGAGAATACAGTCCATTTTCCTTCCTTCCAAGCTGATATGGTATGTGTTTCAAGCTCTTCTTCTGTCATATTGGACCCGTGATTCCCGAGCTGAGAAAAGGACAATAATAAATTTTATAAAACCTTGCAAAAACGAAAGTTGGATCATGAATGACTTATACAATTAGAATTTGCAGTTTATCATTATCGTAAAAATCTTGAAATTGATTCTCAACAATTAATTCCTGAAACCCAGCTCATTTAATGCAGGAAAGGTTCTTTTAGGGAACTTGGAATATCAAGGAAGACAGAGCCAAAGAAATCAAGTCCAGTAGTGGTTATTTACAGATTTATCGTATTCATAATCAATGACAAATAACCATAAATGAAATGCTTATAATGATAAATTGATATTGTTACATCAAAGAACATGCGGTCTTTTTTATTAAAAAAAAATGAAGTCAATTAGTTATTTGTTTATTCACTATCAATTGCACAAACGTTATCATTCTTCGGCCTATATTTGGTATAGTCATGTACTGATGGAGCTTGTGCCGGGCAGTAAACATGTCAATTTTTTTCGAGGCTGAGTCTCTTTCATACATCTTGTATCAGTAGTATATTAGCCTTTGAGCCACTTGGAATTTACAAAAGCCATTATGACAAGAGCTTTGCTTTAAAAAACTTTCCAACAGAAGAAGTAAATAGAAAAATACTTACATACCTCTCTTAAAATTAAAATAAAATCTAAAACGCTGAGAACTCCAACAAACTGTCCCTTGCTGAAATCCCAAAGAGGAGCCATGGGAATTCCCTGTAAATCATCCGATTAAAAAATAATTACATAAAAAAGCAACAAATAAGCAAGCGGAAACAATGCAAATCAAAATGCTGAAGAATCAAAGACATAAACATTGGCTCAAGTTCCATAAAAGGATTCAAAATGCTAATCAAACATATTTTGAGCACAGTTATTCAGTATATATAAAAATTCCTCTATATGAGCAAAGCAAAGATACCTGCTCATGTAGTATGTGAAATGCTTGCTTCACTGGCAAATCAACATCCAAGGTAACAACCTGTGGCCAGATATCACCACATCAGTAAATTATGTTATTCTAGATAGCGAGTAGGTTTGACAATGCAAAAGATACAGTCCTTAACAAAGGTTCAATGGTAAAAGTTCCAAACCTTGCCTGACTCAGGAAGTAATTCATAAGCTGTTTGCATTGACAAGTATGCAGCAATACGTTGACGTGAGGTCAGTATATCAACCTCTGATATTCTCGGCATCAATTCACTCAATGTACCATCTGTCAATCGCACCTGGATGGTGAAATTTCATATGCAATTAAACAACTACACAAATTTAGATGTGAAAATATAAGGTAGTACAACGCAGAGTTCACAAATTTGCTACATTACATTGTAAATAACCAGGGTTATGATAAATGATCCAGCACCCAAATAGAACTCGTGTTTGTAATAATTATTACAACGGTCAAGGTATGAATAACTCTTACCACACGCCGAAAAGTCTCACTGTCCACATCCATGTTAGATCCAGAAACCATGTCGGGAGGTAAAACAGGTATGAAATTAGGATCAGTAGCCAATAATACAGTGTTAACTATCCCATATTCTCCGGATATATAAGGTTGGTGCTCATCATGCCGCCATTCTCCATCAACAAAAAACTTGTACTGCATTAGAAAAAACTATATAGTAAGTATATAGCCACCACAAATAAAGATCAAACATTTTCAACAATAAATATTGCCCCAAGTGTTTTTAAATCCACTAGTTTGTGTCATAATCGAGCCATTCAATACCAAACATAAGCAGTATATTACTTCTTGATTAACATTCATTGTGAAAATAAACATCTCAACAAAATCTTAAAAATCACACACACATACAATCATACATATAATAATGTTGTTTTGAAAGGACATGACACAATCATTACCAAATATATCAGCACGACGCTACAAACTGACCTGATGATAACCAGGGGCCAAGCTATGGATAACTTGAAACACAGTTGGGCAACCTTCCACCGGTGACATTTGCAGAAGCTCAGACCACCTTGAGACAAAATTCAAATTTTTATCAAAAATAAAATAAATTAAATAAATAGCACAATAGTAAAACAGAACAAGTATACTGACTTATAAAAAAGAAAGAAAAAATATACCTAGTGAAAGAACCACTGAGATACACACTTCTTCCCCCATACGGCCACACGAACCGCATGGGAACTAGCACAGTCCCCGCTACAACACCACCCACACCCCTTGCAGAATCCATACTAAACATTCTATTCCAAAATTCAAAACAAAAAGCTACACAAAATTCCTTCCAAGAACTAAACTTTACAGCATGCTATCATCCAAATTCAATTCACAGCAAAAAAACCAACCAAATGCAGCACCAATTCAATGCACTACAAAACCAAAAATAGAAATTCAAAATTCAAAATTCAAAATTCACCTCTAAAGCAAAAAAAAAAAAAAACAGTTAGTGCTCATTGCACAGTAACCCTAAATCGACATCAGAAATTGCATGCAAGAAAGCCAATGAGTAAAAAAGACAGAAAAACCCTAACCCTAAATCGAGAAAAAAATGGTACCAAATCGAGAATCGTATGTCGAGGAATTTAAGAAATCCTGGGTGAAAAGTAGAAACCCTATGGAAAGAGGTTGAGAAAATCGAGGATGAGTGAGCTATGAAAGAATCCAAACATAAAGAAAAAAAGACGAAACTTTGTAATAGATGCTTCAAATTTATTTATTATCACTTGAGGAAATAAATAAAAGAAAAATTGGTAATAAGAGAATAAAAATGGTCAATGAATTGTGAAGGTGTAATGTCGGATTGGTAGAGATGGTGATTTATTTTTGTTTAAAATCTTTTAATATTATTGTCTCTTTCTTATAATGTTTTATTTATTTTTAATTTTTTTTTTACGTTATACATACATAACTTTTTTTTAAATTATAATGCTGTTTTTATTTTCTTGCAAATATAATGGAGTTATTTTGATATTATTTATTAAAATGATTTTTTTATTTTTTAAATTATATTATTATATTAAAATTTATTCAAAGATAAAAATCAAACAAATAAAATGAGTCGCTACTTCTTTTTTTAAAATTAATTATTTATAGTGTTAGGAAATCAAAAATATCAAAAATAAATAATATAAAAATATAATTATTAATTATAATTGAAGAAATAGTTTAGTGAAATTAAGTTTAATAAAAAATTATTTGATTTTTAATCTGTCTTGTAATACGGTTGTGCAAGAACATCCAAGAGAGTCATTATACTGTTGGATAAAAAATTATATTATACAAATAGTATAGAATTATTATTTATAAAAAATTGAAATATTATAAGAATCAAATTTAAAAGTGGCACTTTAATGTAATATAATTGGCTTGAATGTGTAAAATATATATGTTGTATGTATAAATTAGTTTTACAAATAAATATAAATTTAATTTATATGCACCAACGATATATAAAAAATACATGGTTAACAAAATATAATAGTTAAATTAATTTTATAAATAAGTTATATAAAATTCAATGAAAACATATTGTTAGTTAAATAATTATTATTTTAAAGACAAAAAAATACAAATAAAATATATTTCTTAAATATATTTTTTATTTTTTTATTCACGATTTTAATCTTTCATTTATAAATTTAAAAATATCATTTCCATTTTTTTAAAAATCAAACAAATGTCACAAATTTACTTTAATTGCATAATTATAGGGCATAATGAAGAGTTTTGTTCTTTGAATACCTAAAGGAACCCTAATCCTCTCATCAAACATCTTTATGGACCTTACATCTTTATGAATCTCACTCAAGATCAACAAAGTATGGGAAAAGAAACAAAGATCAAGTGGAGAGAACTTGTAGTAGCAATCATATAAATTCCTCTAGCTACGGGGAATTCAGTCATATTCTTGAAGCAGTGATAAAGAAGTTAGAAAGGATTTCTATCAAAGATGATCAGGGGGCACAAGGGAGCCCGATTAGTGAAGATGAATTCTACGATAATCGGAATATCAAAAGGAAAGGCTAACAGCAAGCATTAGTGACTACACAATGGTTACCACATAAAACACAATAAATTAAAGAAACAGTAAGTCGTTATCAAAGGACCAACCGAGAGGCATGAAGATCCTTAGCGGGAACTTTTGAGGATTGGGAAACCCTAGTACAATTAGAGCTCTGAAGGTTATCATCAATAATTATCACCTGGATATCCTCTTTTCTATCTGAAGTTAAGTCCTCTAATACCTTTTTTCAAAAGAAAAAAAATCATATATTTGATAATCATATAGCTCACTATAGTGTTGTTAACTGCACCACTATTGGTGGTGGAAGGCTGGGGGGCTTGTTTTGATGTGGGTCAATCATATAACCATGAACATTATTGAAGCAGATAAACATTTTATTGATGCTTATATCATCTCTAATGATAACATTCATGAATGTAGAATTACATGTCTTTATGGTCACTCTAAGCTTGTTGATAAACATAGGACTTGTGCTATTATATCTGACTTTTATCAGGCTATAAATATGGATGATTGGATCCTTTTTGGAGACTTTAATTTGATTAAGTTTGCTTTTGGAAAACAAGGGGGCAACCCTATTGATTTTAAAATGAGTAACAAGTTTGATGATATTATAACTAATTGCAATCTCTATGATGTTGGCTATATTGGGACATGTATACTTGGGTTAATAATCAATTAGGTAATAATTTCATTCAGGCCAGATTGGATAGATTTCTTGTCTCTGATAAGTGACTTGAAAACTATCATAATTACTCTAACTACCATCTTCTTAGATATGCTTTTGATCATTACCCTATATTGTTTTGTTTATATCCTAACAATACTTGCAAGATTAAGGGCTTTAAAAGAAATAGAGATTTCAAATTTGAAAGAATATGGACTATTGATGAATAGAGTAGAGAGATTGTAAGAAATGCTTGTAATAGTCCTGATGGAAATGTTTGTGCTAAGCTGAAGTATAGCCTAAATGACCTTAACAAATGGGGGATCAAAAAGTTTGGCAATTTGCAAAGGAAAATAAAAGATGTGTATCTCAGACTACCTAAATTGAGAAAGATTATCCCCGATGTTGAGAACATCTAGAAAATCTTAGATGTTAAAAGGGAGCTTGATAATAACCTCAATCTGGAGGAAATATGGTGGAGTCGGCGGGCAAAAAGCTCTTGTTTGATGGAAGGAGATAGATACTATAAATACTTCCATCAAAAAGCCAGTCAATGAAAGAGAAAAAGCCTTATTCAAAATATCTATGGAGAATATGGTAGAATGTGTACTAAAGAGGAAGATATATTTAACGTTTTCATTAATTATTTCATTAATATATTTTCCTCTAACTATTGTAGGGATCAAAAGGACATTTTTAGTGTGGTTAAGAGCAAAATCTCTCCCAAGGTAATGGAGGATCTCCAGGCATAGTTCAATGATCTAGAGGTTATACAAGCTATGTTCAAATCAAAAGGTAATGAATCCCTGGCCCATATGGACTTTCTGCTAGTTTTTATCAACAGTACTGGGAGATTATATGTGAGGATATTATTGATATGACTCTAAACATTCCAACAATGTTGGTAATGTCTCAAACCTAAATCAACTCTATATTTGTCTCATTCCTAAGAATAAAAATTCATGCATCCCCTGCTGACTTTCGCCTTATATATTTATGCAATGTTACTATAAAATTAGTTACTGAGACTATAACAAACAAAATTAAACATATGTTGAATACCATTATTACCCCTTAGCATTGTGCTTTTATTCTTGGGAGGCTAATTTATGACAATATTATCCTTGCCCGTGAAGCTTTTCACTCAATGTATAAGATAAATTAGAATTGCCTTTTATTGAGGGTACCCTGAAAGTAATGGGTTTTCCTAATATGCTGGCTCAACTTATTATGCATTGTATTAGCTCTGTGACATTTTCTATTAGTATAAATAGTAATATTTTCATTTTTTTAAACCCTTTAGAGATCCTCTCTGCCCTTTCCTTTTCATTATGGGTGTTGAGGTTCTATCTAGGATAATTCTTACTGGTGAAAAAGTGGGCATGTTACATGCTCTTTATGTTGCTAAGACTTCTCTAGCCATATCACGCATTTTATTTTCCGATAACAATCTTATTTTCTATAGAGCCAAAGAAGAGGAGGCCTAAGAGCTTAGTAACATATTCAACAAGTACTAACAATGCTCAGGTCAACTGATAAACTTAAATAAATCCAGTATGGTGTTTAGCAATAAAGTTTATAGAAACACCAAAGACAAATTCAAGTAGTGAATGCCTATAAACATTATAAATCAAATAGGATTCTATCTTGGGTTACCTATAAAAGTTGGAAGATAAAAAAGCCGAGTTTAACTGCCTCAATGACAAAATTAGAAACAAGATCAATGGATGGAAGGAAAAACAGTTATCTTATGTAGGGAAAGCCATCTCTACCTATGCTATGAGTACTTTTAAGTTTCCTAAAAATATTTATAAGGAGATTAATATTTTACTTAAGAACTATTGGAGGGAGGGCTAACCATAATGGAAAAAATAAGTTGTACTAAGTGGGATAACATGTGTCAAACAAACACCAATGGTGGGATAGGGTTTAGAAAAATGAAGGTTTTAAAAGTGGCTTTGTTAGCAAAGCAAATTCGGAGAATATACACCCAATAATATACTTTTATCTTTAAGTGTCTCAAGGCAAAGTATTTTCCAAATACTACCCTCAAAGAAGCTAAAAGTAATCTCAAGGATAACTATGTTTGGAAAAACATGATTCATAGCAAAGACAAATAGTTTCAAGTGTGTTTATGGAAAATAGGGAAAGGGAAATCTATCCAAGTATGGGATGATCCATGGATTCTGTGACACCCCAATTTAATTCAATTGTTAAATAATTAGGAATTTAATTATTAAATTAATTAAAGGCTTAATTTATAATATTTTGGATTAAATGAATGAATTAATTATGGAATTAAAAAGGAAGACCGGGGGTGTAAAGTTGAATTAGATGTGTGTGAAGTAAAAAGCTCTATTAAAATAATTACTAATTTATTTTTTTATTATTTGGCAAATAATAAAAGGAAAAGAAAAAGAAGGATAAAAAGGAAAAAGGAAAAGAAGGGTTTTGGGAAAAAACTCATTGTACGTGAAATTGGAGAAGAGAAGAGAAGAGAGGAAAAAGCCAAACGCCGGGAATTCGAAGGATCATTGCGAGG